GGTAGTAGGAATTATTTTTTTTAAACCTGCCAGAGGTCTGTTTCCTATAGGATGAAGATGAGATGTGTTGGGTACTCTGGGAGGTGTGTGAATGGGGAGGCAGACTTGGCTAGAGTAGAGCTGAGAGAGGCAAAAGCAGGCTGATTCATCTTTACCCGGCTTGTCTGGGGTGAGCTCTGGTGTGAACCATCCCTCAGCTGGGTTCGGGCTTTCCCTGATCATAGTGATTACTTTCTACAGCTTAACGAGGGCTTTGCATTTAAGAGCAAGTTAGGAAGCAAAAGGGCAATCATGAACTGAGCTCTTTTTTTTCTTTTTTTTTTTTTTCTAGAACACCTGTACTTTCTGATTTTATTTGCCCTCTTGTGCTGAAAAGAGGTTTGAGTAACTCTGAACATGTAAAGCATACCATTTCCCAAAGCCAGCAAAGCCTTTTCTTGGTCTCATCTTTGATGGAAATCCTTTACACAAACCATAGGACATACTGCTGGCCTCTCTCTGAGACCCGGATAGAGCTTGAAGGCAAATATTTAAATGAGCCACTCAGACCTCTGGAGCATAACACATGACCGGGGTATTGACCGTACTTTATATAAGAGGAAACAATATTGGCTGTGGTTTTGGGGAGTACTCTCCAATGTCGTGTCACACTCTCTTTCTCATTGTTTTTCAACTCCAGATCTGGTGGTCATTGGGCAGAATGTGTTGGGCATGATGGGGTGTGCAATAAAGGTGGCCCAGCCTTCACTGCTAACAGGGTAGAAAGCTTTCTCTGAGTCAGGTTATCTTCTGGCTGGGACATTGTTTGAGACTTCAACATGGCTATAGAATCATCATGGAATAGTTTAGGTTGGAAGGGACCTTAAAGCCCACCCACTCCCACCTCTCTGCCATGGGCAGGGACACCTTCCAGTAGACCAGGTTGCTCCAAGCCTCATCCAGCCTGGCCTTGGACACTTCCAGGGATGGGGCATCTGCAGCTTCTCTGGGCAACCTGTCCCAGTGCCTCCCCACCCTCTCCAAGAATAATTCTTTCCTGATGTCCAATCTGAATCTCCCCTCTTTCACTTTAAACCTGTTACCTCTTGTCTTATCACTCCCTGCCCTTGTAAAATGTGTCCCCTCTTCAGCTTTCTTGTAGTTCCCCCAGGAACTGGAAAGTTCTAGAAGTTCTCCTTGGACCCTTCTCTTCTCCAGGCTGAACACCCCCAACTCTCCCAGCCTGTCCCCAGGGCAGAGGGGGTCCCGTCCTTGGAGCATCTCAGTGGTCTCCTCTGGACTCGTTCCAACAGCTCCGTGTCCTTCTGATACGGGGGGGCTAGAGCTGGACACAGAACTGCAGGGGCAGGGGTTCCCCTGAGCAGAGCAGAGCGGGAGAATCTCCTCCCTCGCCCTGCTGGCCACGCTGCTCTGGATACCGCCCAGAATACGGTTGGCTTTCTGGAATGCCAGCGCACACGGCCAGCTCATGGCCAGCTTTTCATCCCCCAGTACCCCCATGTCCTTCTCCTCAGGCCTGCTCTCCAGCCATTCTCCACCCAACCTGTACTTGTACTGGGTTGTGTCAACCACTCTGACAAGGAAGGAAGAAAGCATCACTACCTACCTCAGTACAACTTTCATTCTCTGGGTAGTGTCTTGCCAAGCCTGGAGCCTGATGCTTTCAGCTGTGGTCCCTAGGGAGATGCCATCCTGCACTACATGTCTTTCAGCACAAGATTGACTGCAAGAGTCTTATCCACCAACTCATTAATTCCCAAGCCCCTTTAATAGGTCTCTGTCTCTTTTTCTACTTCAATTTGTGATCTCTCTCTTCTCTCAGTGACACAACTGGACTGACATCCAGAGACAGTCATGGGAGGGCATTACAGTAGGCACACAAGAGGTTAAGTTGTAGGATAATGGGGATGGAAAGCAGAGTGCTCCAACTCCTGGGTGATGCATCACCCAAAGGCAAGGTCTTTGGTATCCATATGCATATCTAGCCTGGTCATCGATGAGGTGATCGTTCCTGAGGCTGCAGAAACTTTCTAGGAATTCTCTGTGTCTTGACTGACCCTTTTCTACCTGAATGGGAACCTGAGATTTGTCTGTCTTGTATGCAAAATGAACAGACTCCTTCACACAGGAGTTTTTCCCTGAAAAGAAGCCAAAGAGTTTCTTCCAGCTGAAGAGCAAAAAGCTCCTTGGATGCTCATCCATTCTCTTCCTGCAAAAATCCTTCTTGCGGATAGCCCACCACAGCCTGGAAGTACCAAAGTAGAAACCCGGGGATGAGTGGCTACAGGCACAAGTTTCAAATCCTTCTAGATCAGAGACCTGCAGGTGTTCAAGCTCTAGTCCTTCACTTCACCATACATCATCAGGTATTTTAACAGACATCCCAGTACAGATAATTTTTCCAACTTTCCAATATTTACACATCTATGTGTTTCATAGCTTAAAAAAAAAAAAATGGTGAGACACAGAAAGGTGTCATAATTTTTGGTACTAAGGGCTTTTTTTGGAGTCAGGTGACATAATTCCAAAATCACATTTAATCACAAAACAATAGACACTGTATAAAATTCATGCTTTATAAGGAATAATATTTATTGTCTAGGTCATGGGGGATGTGCAGTTTTAGGGACTGGGGGATGAAAGTGAACAGTTCATAAAGGGAACTGCACGTCTCTAGGGAAAACAAGCCGTTTGTCAGAGATAACCTGAAAGCTTCCCATGACCCGTAGAAGGACAGGAAGGCTCTTCTTTGTTTCCAAATGCACAGTAGCGAAGTAGTTCAAGAAGTAGAGCTTGTCTTTTCGCTCAGACCAAACTCCATACAGCTCTGCTGAGGTTGCACGCCCTCTGGTGGGAGTTGTCTTGGCAAGGAGTATTTTATCAGACCCAACAGCATGAGTTTATTCTGTTTGTCTTCCCTTTCCCATGCCTTTTCACTTGCCAGAACTCTGCGGTGTGTGCACATTTTCAGTGAAGGGATTTGTTGTTGTTCATAGAAACAGCCTCAGAAAAATGCCAGACTTCCAGACGGAAGAGGTTTTATGCAAAATAGTTAATGCTGATTTATACACAGCCAGAGAATGCTGTCAGTTTGGGGAGGGCACACATTTTACCTTCTAATATCAAAGCAAGTGAGGACATAGATGTCACATTGCAAGTAGGAAAGCTTTTTTCTCACCGAGACTCCCCTCCAGCACATCCAATGTCAAGCTCAAATAGTCACATAGCACAGCCTATCCCCCTGTCCCATTTTCTCCTCCTTCCTCACTCTGGTTCTTCATATATTACAAGTAATTCAGGCTGGGAGACAGTCCACCCCACTGCTTTACCTCCAGGTCTTCTAAACCTGTTCCTGCACAAACACTTCAGAGCAGGGCTAAGGCAAACATCAGGTAACTACTAGGATGGTAAAACAATGCAAATTTTATAATGCAAGCAATAATAGTAATTAATATTTTCAGTCATTATTCTAGTTTTAGATTAACTGTAATTTTTTGGCCAGCCCTATTTGTTTCTTGGGGTCCATTTTCCATAGCATCGTAGAAAACTTCTGCTGTCTGAAGTTTTATAAGGACTCTACACTTCTCTTTACTTATCATAGAGTATTTGACCACAAATAGTATAAATCCCCAGCCATTTTTATTGTCCTTCACTCTCACTGTAAAACATGGCAAAGGTTAATGGGTAACCTTTGGAAATAAAAGGGTTTGGTTTATGGCTGGGATTACAGTGGCTGACAGGGTCCAAAGGTACGAGCAGCCTCCTGAGCACTACCAACAGATGTAAGCAGCCTCATTTCTTTAAGGAACATCTGCGTTTCATGAAATCCAGGGTGGTATTATTGAAAAGCAGGTTGGTGTTTCTCTCTGCTGAAGCAATGGTTTATTTGGCTGCTTCTCTAGAGAAGAGCTCTGGGTGGTTTTGTAGCCTTCTGTTTCCTGCAGGCTTTTGGCTGTGCTGTGTTCTGTTGATTGGCAGATATTTTGGGTCTTGTCCTGAAAGATATGAAAATTACCTTTGCTGAGTTCTGCTTTGTGTCTATTTTTGCATGGTGGAATGCAGTTTGGGAGAGAGAGAAAAACCCCAAACATACCTTTAGATCTGTCTGTCTGTCTATCTCTCATCTATCCTGAGGTTATGCTTACTGTTAGATTTGGCTTTGGGGTTGAGTAGAGTTGGATTTAGTGGAGCAAAATCCATGTCTGACAGTGAGAGGTGGATGTACAGATCCTTTGGGAACCCCATATGAGTATCAACAGCATGTAATTGGCACAAATTCCTTATTGACTAACTTTTGGTTTATTTTTCCGATGGTGAAATGCATTACTTTCATTTTTGTTGTTCATCCTTCTCTTTGACCCTGCTTACAGCTTCTGTGTGCGGCATTTTAGTTCCCGTTCAAGCTTTTTGTTGAAGGTTCTGCATGTGATAGGGTGGTGACATTGCAGTCCCAACAGAGTACCTGGCAGACAGCCTTGCTGTTTCTCTTCAGGGCTTTTCTGTTCCTGTGTGTTTAGCAATATGTTCTTTTCTTTTTTCTTTTTCTTTTTTCTCCTTTTCTTTTCTTTTCTTTTCTTTTTCTCTTCC